CCACTAATTCAAAAAATTTATTGAACTGTGTGGAAATTAACTGAATGTGTGACCTCAAATCTTCATTTAAAGCCTTTTTCAAAGTCTGACTGAGTTTTCAAGCTGCTGTTCAGCAAAAAATGGAAATACAGGTTTAGAGGCCCAGCACAACTGAGCTCTGTGTTTGTCAGTCACTTAATGTACACCAAACGATCCTTTTGGTTCAAGATAATTTTATGCAAAGCTAAGCAAGGCCCTCACTGTTTTTGCTGACTTGCAGTAAGCCAGTGGGATGCCAGGCTGCCACCATCAGAACATCTGCTTCATTGGAAAAGTATTTCAGCAGGCCATGCCTTGTAATAAATGATATGACCCTGCAAGGCCGACAGCAGCACTCCTGTGGGCAAACAGCTTGCCAAAGGTCGAAGCCATACAATGCTTTGGGACCAGCAACATCATTTCTGTCCATTCCACCCCTACCCAGAGTCTTAGAGCTGCAATGGATAAGTGAAAAAATACATCACTGAAAATATAGCTTCTGCCAGTAAAGAACAAGAGAAGGGAGGGAAAGAGAGGAAAGCAGAGGAGAATGTGAATCCAGCTGTGAAGCTATTTACTCTGCCACTGAAAACAAAGCTATTCCCAGATGCACCACTTAGTTTGCCTCAGTCAGACCTGGGGTAGCAAAATGTGTGATATAAACTATTTCAGTTATGAAACAGGTTAGAGAGTGCTTTTACCAACAGCCTCATTAGCACAGATACCTGTCCATTTTAATTTACAATCTTTCCCAGAACAGTCCCTAGCCTTCTTTCTTTTCCTTTTTTTTTAAGAAGTTACTAATTTTCTTTCATCTTTTAGACTATGAATTCTCCTAAAACACAAACCACAACTGCTTTTATAAACTTTTTGCTCAATTCACAACGCAACATCAATAAAACCCCAGTGATGTAAAACAGTGCAAACATTTCAATTTTACTAACAATATAAACAGCACCAAAAAGATTTGGGATCCTGTTCACCCACCTGTGACATTCGTAGTCAGTGGATGCTCTGTTGCTACAGTTAGAGAAAGGTCTTGTTCCATTGTTATTGCTATTGCCTTTTGAAGTGAAATGACAGTGGAACTCTTTTGAATGGCAGCATTTTACAGCAATTTAACTTGCTGCCTAAAGAAGGCAAATTGGCATGAAAATTATCTGGAAAGCACAATCACATATACACTGAATTTTTATAGATAGGTAGATAAATAGGTTGATATAGATATATGAACACACCCACACATACATACATACACATATATGCTGTTTTTTCAGTACAGACATAACATACAGCACACCAAAGGCCATAAGGATGAAGAATAAATTACTTGGCAAGATAATTTTCTAAAGTAATTTCACAGAAAAGGAACCATTTCCTAAAAAAGCCTACCATTACCCTCCAACATGTTATTTGATGAGCACTGCAGCTGATTTCTAACTTCATTCTTATTTACCTTCCATGAAAGCACCACTGAGGACCTAATGAAGAAGGCTGGGTAGTTCTGGCATTATTGGTTTTTTTGTTATTTATTTATTAGACATAAGAGCTGTTATCAGCAAGCAGTCAGGTGAGTCAAATCAGACAAAGCATTATCTGATTCCTGTGCTGTAAATCAGATTTTAATAGAGAAAAGATCTGTGTCCCTTTGAGAATAGAAAGAATATGTTTATAATGTGTTCTGAGTATGTGCTACACAATAGCAAATATGAATAAAAATATTTTCTCTAATCAATTTTCCACATTCTTATCCAAGTTCTTTCACCCATAAGATGAGAACCAAAATAAATGAAAATTCTGTTTGTGACAAGTGCTAGCAAGTAACAAAGATAAGCATGCATAAAAGCACGCATACATGCTGCATTCTTAGGCATTTAAAAAATACTGACTTCTGTAATATTAAAAGACATCATTGTTTCTCTGCTAGCAGAATAACTTATGCATTTCATATTTATCTAATTCAGCCACTGAAATGAGACCTTTGGTAGCTTATTCTTAACCTCAATGGAACTTTTGTCCTTGGTATTTATCCTTGTCTTTTTCTATTCAGAACCTACAAAGCATCATGACAGCACCTGTACACCAGACACAGATAACGTTTGACTACCTCTTAAAGGTTTTAGAAATTTTAATTGGCAGAGTAATCTAGATATGCTCAGGCAGAAATTGGTGTTAAACATCAAAAACCTTGATGCAAAGCCAGCTCTTTCTTGTAATGCAGTGTTGTTTGAATTTTGATTTGCTGGAAATTGCTGTTTGCAAAAATGAGGGCCCCCCTACTACCTAATGCATCACTGTTTGAACTAAGATGCTGAAATCAGTTTACTGCCCAGATACCTAAATATCCTGTGCTCAAAAATTACTTTTTAAAACCCAACTTGTTAGGTCACATCCAAGTAATTCCATAACAAACTAGAGGAACAGGCCTTTCATGTCATGTTCGGCTTAAAAATTCCATTCCTTTTATTATTTACACATGAAAATGAGTTTATGACCACAAAAAATAATTCACTGATGTTTACAATACATTTACACTGAGGTTTACAAAGGTGTGTGCTCAGATTGCTGTTAATGAATGAACAGGTAAAGCTCTGCCATTGCCAGCCATTAGCAGCAACGTTGACATCCATATCACACTTGAGTTTCCTGTCTTATTATTCTATTTCTTCACAGTTGTTCCTTTGCTTCTCCATCCAAATTTACAGGAGGTTTGAAGTAAATGCAAAACTACAGGCAGCATAAAAGTGAAGTAACACAATGGAAGTTAGTATCAAACTTTAACTATCAGAATGTAGATCCTATTTATTAGGGAAAAAATCCAACCAAGTCACAACTAACCACATGCTGAATTGGAGATATTGGTGTCCCTTTTGGGAAATGTAACTGCATTTTAAATTTTTTAATCAGTGTCTGGACATTAACCTAATTCAACTGTGGTTGTGCATTTGGATCAGTGAAAAGGTTAGCTCTAGTCACTTGGGCAAGAGAACAGTTTCAGGTTGTAATAACCTTGATGTCTAAGATAGATTGAGCCTCTTCAAGGAAGACCAGATAAATTTTTGGTTTTACATATATATCTGTGATTAATATAGAGAAATAAATGAAAGAACTACAACCTGGGAGAAACATGAGTATTGAAAGTGAAAACAGCCTGTAATGGTATGCAATATATACATCACTACAGAAAACACTGTAAAGGTCTGCTCTCTTTCCTCCTGGAAAATAACAGCAACAGGGCAGAAAGAAGCAGAGATGATGGTGTTAAGATGAAACAAGCAGGAAACAGTTACATAAATACTTTTTTGTCCCTCAGAAAAAGAAAAAAAAAAAAGAAAGATGAAATTAAGCATACTAAAAGTCCCAGTAGGTCCGTATCTAATTATGACCAATATTTAAGAAACCGATATCTTAACCCAACCCTAGAGAGAAAAAACAATTGCTGCCATTTCATCTCCCCCCTGCATCCTCCTCTAGCTGGCACAGCTGACTTGCAACCCCTTTCTCTTTAGCTTTAACAGATCAGGCAATCATAATTCAGTAGTAAAAAAGGAACAGACCAGACAGACCATCTTTAAAACTACCAACTTTCTAATGAGCACCTTGTAAATCTGATTAAATTTATGGAACTGAAAAAATTCTGTAATATCTGAAAAATGGCTTTTTCAACTAATAAAAATCAGAAGAAAGGGCTGCAACCTCATTGCAGCTACCAGATTTTGATCCACACAGGAGCATTATGCAAAACAACAGAGAATTCAGAGATGCTTCCTTCATTAACATGAGGCTGGTTTGAGCTTCTTGTACCTCATTCGGAAGGACAGAACATTTTCTGAGAAATTAGTACCTCAGTGCAATGGGTCACAGAAGTTGCTGGACAACAGGAGATGAGCAAATGAAAATTCAGTATCATATATGTCAACTGTATTTAAACATACAAATGAAAATGACTCTCTTTCAAATTAAGGGAATGTCTCATGCAATATATTCAGCTCTTCCAATCCAGTTTAAAAGGTCAGAAATATTGCTAGCCAGACAGGTCTTCATCTGGCAATTCTCCCACAATCCAAAACTAATGCCATATTTATATATTTTATCATTAATGAGCTACCAATGCCTACCACCACCTTAATTGCACATGCTCAAGCTCTCAGTGGAACCAGCAGATGCTCTGCTGGCTGGCACAGTGGGTCACACATTAATTCTTAGCCAGTGAAGGCACTGCACTGCTAACTGGGAGAGCAGCATGTCCTTTTGCATGGAACAGCTTTAAAGCCTGGACATGTCAACCAGAATGAAACTAGAGCCTCTCAATTACTCCTTTGCTCCCACTTAAGTTTTAATGAATGTTCATTGAAAATATCCTCTTACTTTCCTATGTAAATACATCCCAAATGACTCAGAGTGAGAGGAAGAGGCAGGAGGATGAAAGTAGTTGCAGGTTTTTTTTTGGGTCACAAAACCTCCTTTCTCTACAGATAAATGTCCCTGGTTCTAGATCAAATGGACTCGTTCACTTTAAAGTAAGAAAAAGGATCTATTCATTCAGGGTTGAGAAACAGACAATATACCTGAAGCGGTTCAGGCAAAGTGAGGTAGCTTTGATAATCTGTATCCCGTTAGTATTTGTCTGTTGCAACTTTATGGCTTATAAGCAGGAGTTTAGATGCTCGTGGCTTCTTCTCCCTGGAGGGCAATGCATCAAGATGGTAATGTATCACAACCTCAACAAATGTTCTGTTTGAAGAGCACAATGACTCCCAAATGGAAAATGTGTTTCTGCCTGTGAGATCTCAGGTTTAAACATATTGCTCTTGCTTCTTTTGTACAAACCCCCTCACTTCTAGGAAAATAAAATGGCCTGGCAGGGATTCAGTGCCATGCTTCACCTTCAAACTCGCAAGGCCCTTCATCACTGGTGAAGCTGCTCTAAATGTAGGGTCAGGACCACACCTATCCCGCTGTCCCAGAGGCGTCTCACTTACTGAGGTTCCACTTAAGGCCTGTCGTGGTCACACTCTCGCAGGGGTTCCCGATGGGGATGAGGCCACACCAGGAGCCCTCCAGTCCTGTGTCCACATGCAGCTGGTGCTTGCCCTGCAAGACAGAAGTGTTTCTGCAGTCAGTGCTTGCCCAAATGGCATTTGATCACAGACCTTGCAAACAAAAGAGGAGGTACTTGGAGACAGGTCCAGAATGTCCCCCAAGGGCTCAGGAATATTTGGTTGCAGCAGGAAGTCAGGCCACTGATGTTTACAGGAGGAGAGATATGTACTTAGGTTCCAGACCTTAGGGCTTTCAAAAGTTTGTTTCTAGACTTTTCTAGCAGAATGTACCTTTGCTCATTGTTCCCTGGCATTATTTGAATAGGCCATTCCGTCAAACCCAGGCTCTTTGTTCCTGTGAAATGCTGGCATCCTGATCTATTCACTCATGTTTTCCTCATCTAAACAGTTGTGTTTCACTTCTTAAAAAGTGCTAGTCAAAGTACCACTGAAGTGCTTCAATTATTTTGACAACATGTGTAAAATTTCATGTACTTCTCCAGGATGTACCTTACCCAGAAGGAGGAATACATGTATAAATTTAACTAGGCGCTGGAGAAATTAGCCTAAATATTTAGAGTAACCTGCTTACACTAAATAATGAAAAAAAAAAAACCACCAATCATTTTTTTTTACATCTAAGATAAATATATCTAGTAACTAAAACATTCATGGGATGCAGGAGAAGAAACAGCTATTAATTATGATGTATTTGTGATAAATCTCTTAATTAGCACTTACAGCTCCTGTGTGAACATCCCATGAACAGTTACAAGGAAGAGTAGATAGTGGAAATCTTTAACAGAATGAAAAGTGCTGAGTGTTACAGTTCTAGCACAATCTGTCTTCTAAGAAACTAAGAAAATGTTTATGGAAACTAGCTACAAGAAAGCAGCAAATGAAAAGTAGTGACAAGATCAGTGGAGAAATAATCCTCTGGTCTCTTCTACACAGATAATTTTTTCCTTCAAATAAGACTGGGCTTCATGTAGGAGAAGCTTCTTTGAAATAGAGGATTTTTGTTTCATTTTATTTTATTATTTTGTAGATGCAGGCAAGCAAAACTCTTGAACATGTCTTTCACACACAAATTCTTCATCACTATAAATAAAATCAGATATGCCTATTTATAAATATACAGACTCTGAAGCCCTATGACTATTCAGTGAACACTTCATTAAGTAAGAAACCACGGTTTTATACCAAAAGAAACAAAGAACAGTTGAACCACAAAAGTCAACTAAATGTCCCAAGCAGCAAAAATAGTCCCACAGATTTTCTTAGGAGAACGCATTTAGGCTTTTTTCTCCTGCCCTGTCCTATACTCATTTCACATGCTCTTGCAAATACAAAGTCATTAGTTAGAAAGTCAAAACTGTAGGTGAAATATCTTATTGCTGAGACACTGATGTCTGTAGCATTCAACAGCTTCTCCTGTTAATGCCAAATGCATTATGAAGAAACAACTTCAATACATGTCATGCTCTCAGTTAACAAATGAACCTTGGAAAAGCTGTCAATTAGGGAATATCAGATTGCATAGCTTAAGTCTATTTGATTGTTTGCAAAGCAACAAAAAAACCAATCCAATATTATCTGTCTTCTCAGGGTGTCCAGCTTCACATGGTGATGAGCCATGTATATGTGCAGTGGTTGTGAAGGCTTGCCTGCCAAATTCAGAGGTGCAACAAATTCAGACTTGATAAGCTTTTAGCTATGCAATATTCCATGCTACCTTTTTCTCACAGCATGGAGGGAGGAGGAAAGGAAGAGGAGAGCTACAAGCACAAGCTCTCTCGTTGTGCAATTACAGATATTGTCAATAATGAAGCTGATGATGAGTGAGAGATGAAGGGGTGGGACTGTTTGAGCCCAATGAACATACATGTTGCTGCTCAGAGCTACTGGAGGAAAGGAGCACACTCACCATATTATTAAACCAGTAAAGGAATATGAAAAGCAGATAAGAAAGTAGCTGGCCCCACAGAGAATCTGATGAAGTTCCGTATTCTCAAAGTCTGTGTCTAACTACTACCAGGTCTGCATTTCCTATTTCATTACATTCTGGCCCGTTTGCAGATAGGGAATCAATTCAGTAGACATTTATGCAGAAAGCTGTCTTTCTGTGCTCATGAAATAAATCTTTAAAACAAAAGATGCCAACACCAGAGGCTCACCAGTATCTAGGATTTTATCAGGAGTCTTTCAAAGTTTGATACTTCACAAAAATCCCAGTTCACATGTTCCAGTGATTCTGTGAGCACAATTATTTTCTTCCCTAAAAGGACATTTTCTGTCACTCAGTTACAGTGATACAATTACAGCTAACTCAGTTATTAAGAGAAATTTCAAATAGGGAGGCCAAATGGCTAAACCCAAGTCAGACAGATAAATGGGAATACTGAAATGCAAATATTTTTTTAAAAAAACCCTCTCAACTGTCAGGCCAAACTTATATTTTACAAATTGGTTCAATAATATAACAGAAGTCAGCTTCTAAGGCTTTTCTTTAAATAAATCAATTAGGGATCTTAATATTACTGGGGATAGTGGGAGCAGAAAAGGGAAATGAATGTTCGGAAAAAAACAAACAAATTACAAATAACCCACTCATTTTTGCCAAAAACATTAATCAGCCAATGCATTTGTACAGTAAAGCTCTAAATTCAAAGCACTGTGAACCTGCCATGAGGGAAATTCAGTTCCGAAGCTTATCTCCAATTTTTTAAGTACAGATCTCTCAACCAAGCAAGATGGAACTGATATTTGCAGGAAGAAGGGAGGATCAGAGCTTGTAATTTGCAAATACAAGTAATAATTTGTTCTATTTAAGTCTGTGTGATTAAAGGAATAATTATATACTGTCACTTAAAATATCAAACTGTTTCCACTTTCTGCAGAACTCAAATTTCCAAAACTAGGTTTAAAAAGAAAACTGAACTTTGACTAAATAAATTCCTCCTTATATTTTTTTTTGCCTCTGTAGGAGGTAACTGAAATATTTTCACATTTAACTTAAGAATCAAATATTACCATGTTTGAATGTTCCTGGTGATGAAAGAATGACAAATAATACAGCCACATTGATTTTTATCTTATTAAGTCAGTTTTGAAAAACATTGATCAATCTTCAGCATCGATTTTTTTTCCTTCATTTTGTTTTGATGTGGGAAAATAAGATCAATTTTTTGAGTTCAGCAATAAGAAGAAAATGTCAGAAGATATTTTTAAGAATGCTTTATCTGCATAGGTTAAACTTCTCCTTTTGATTTAATGCCTTGTGTTATAAGAAAGCATTTAAGGAATAGTGGTTAAATATACACCCACTCCAACACTCTTTTTTGCTGAGGAAAGACCTAAAGAGGTAGTTGTTATTTGCCACATCTAGCTGAAATGAATAGAAGTCTGATTGCCAGGAATTCGTCTACCTAACCCCATTCAAAGTTGTGAGATGCTAAAATCCTTAGTCAAAAATCTGCAAGCTGAATGCTCATGAACAGCATCAAGACAAAAGTGGTAGCTTCCCTACGTGCATGGATAGCCAGGTACAGAGAAAATTACTTCTCCAAGTGCTTTTCAGAGCATCTTGAATAGATGTGTTGCAATAATGTATACTCTAAAATAGATGTAAAGGAACAAAATGTTATAAAAGAGAGGCAGAATGGGGACTAATCTTCAGTAATGCATTTTGAAGGGATCTGAAGGAGGGAAACCTGGAACTTGTCAGGCTGAAGCTAAACACTTGAACATGTCTTTCATGGAGGAGAGGCATAAAGCCAGTTAATAAGATGCTGGAGAAGGATAAGGAATTAAAATCAAGCTTTGAAAAACAAATTAGGAAAGATATAGTAAACAGATCTTAGAAACTGCTAAATAACTAGGACATGTGAAAGGTAATGGGAAAGGAAAAGAAAAAAAAAAAGTTACCAGATTGGAGGACAAAGTAAACTTAGTCTGATTTAAAGGAATCAACTGAATAATTTCATTACTGGAAATCATTGATTTTCTAAAATGTGTACTTTCACCCATGCTTGCTGTGAGATCTGGGACAAAGAAACAAGATTTCTTGAGATCTGGCCATCTGCTCTGTGATCCCTCCTCCACTATTTAGATGTTGTTTTCCATGATCTTCTGAAAAAACATCTTTTTTATACCAGCTTTATTTCTATGATTACTCCATAGATGGCAGCACACACTTGAAAGCAACAACAGCAGCAAAAAACTAAATTCAGATGTCACAGTGTTACCCAGGGAAAAGGCAAAAACCACAATCTGTTTCAGTACATAAACACCTGGGTGCAGAAAATGGTATATAGAAAAAAGACTTAGGGAATGGGTGGAAATCAACACAATCACCAAAGACAGCAGCAGAGGAGAGGAAGAGAATAGGAACAAGGATGAAACAAGCCCGAGAACATTTATGTTTAAAATCAAATATGACTGGCAATAAGATAAAAACAAAATTCCAGAAATATTTCTACTAATCATTAGTTGCATAAGAGTTTGACTTAACAATAATAATTTTTTAGGCTGAGATTCTGAGCAAGACAAATACAGCAAATTTTTCTAAAAGGATGTTCATAAGAAGAGCTGTTTTGTTATAACCCTAAAATATCATCAATTGTCTTTTCACACAAATACACACAGTGCCAAGTAGCTATTATGTGAACACTATTCAAAGAATGTTTTCTGAGGCAACCAGGCTTTTGGTTGCTGTCTAAAATAAAAGTATCCACAGTTCCAGCAAAATTTCATGCCTAAAAGCTCTCATATATTGTATCAATGACTGCTTAAACACATAGAGAAAAACCAGTAAATTTATTATACTTCAAAATAATATTGAAAACTGTTGGACCCAATCCTGCCAATCCCTACTATCAAAGCTTAGATTTTTCTTGTGCTGAAATGCATAGACTTCAGTGTATCAGTTATTTGCAAGACAAAGCCCTACCAGGGCTACCCTTCAAGAGGAGCACTTAATAAAAAAAATGACTTTGCAGTGAATAAAATCCCGGGTAGGAAAGACAGAATATATTATAATCATTATTAGAC